GTGCGAGGAGAACTTGGCAAAGATCTAGAAATAACATAGACCTACATATATTCAATAGACTACGAAGGCAACTTGGAGTAGCCATCAAAGCTGCAAACAACGAAACCTTCGAACATTACATAACAAATCTTACAGCAAATGACCAGACGTTATGGAAGGCCACTAAGAAGCTAAAGAAACCATACACAACCATTCCTCCTATCCGTAAACCAAATGGCGAATGGGCCTGTTCCAACAAAGAAAAAGCTGACGTTTTTGCTGAACATCTTACAAACGTATTTCAAACAGAGCCGGCAGACCCTGATGAAGAAGTGGAAGAACTAATTAGCGCAGCATGTCAAATGTCCCTCCCAATTAAAAGTTTTACTCCTATAGAAGTTAGGAAAGAAATAAACAAACTCAATTCACGAAAGGCCCCAGGTTATGATTTAATCTCGGCACAAGTACTAAAACAACTTCCTCGTAAGGCCATAACTTTGCTAACAGTTATATTTAACCGCATGCTAAGCTTATCATACTTTCCAAAAATATGGAAATTTGCTGAAGTCATTATGATCCTCAAGCCAGGAAAAGAGCCCAATGAAGTAACATCTTATCGACCTATCAGCCTGCTCCCAACCGTAAGCAAAGTTTTTGAAAGATTGCTACTTCAAAGAATATACGCAGATCATGAATTCCTTACATTACTTCCAAAACATCAGTTTGGTTTTCGGGAAAATCACTCCACTACCCAACAAGTTCATCGAATGATAAATGAAATATCAAAAAGTCTTGAAGAAAAGAAATACTGCAACGCTGTATTTCTAGACATCTCACAAGCGTTTGACAAAGTTTGGCACAGAGGTCTGCTTTACAAAGTAAAAATAGCACTATCCAGTAACTATTTCCTCCTACTTAAATCCTACATATCAAATAGATATTTCTCTGTAAAATTCAAAGACCAACAATCCAACCTCCGTCCTTTCAACTCCGGAGTCCCGCAGGGTAGTGTTCTAGGGCCGCTGCTTTTCTCACTCTACACAGCCGATATACCAGAGACCAATAATACTACAATCGCTTCTTTTGCTGACGACGTAGCAATACTAGCCGTAAATGAAGATCCCATACAAGCCTCACAAAACCTGCAACATCATCTGAACATACTCAGTGATTGGTATACAAAATGGAGAACAAAAGTAAATAAAACAAAATCAACTCAAATAACATTTACCAACCGTCACAATATATGCCCACCTGTAAGGATGGAAAATATAAGAATACCAACAGTAACAGACGCTAAATACCTTGGCCTCCATCTTGACCAACGACTCACTTGGAAGAAACATATCCAGACCAAAAGAAAGCAGCTCGACTTAAAATTCCGACAAATGTATTGGCTTCTTGGACGTAAATCAAAACTTAACATCCAAAACAAAATTCTTCTATACAAAGCCATACTCAAACCTATCTGGTTCTACGGACTACACCTATGGGGCTGTGCAAAACCAACGTCGCTGAATATTATCCAAAGATTCCAGTCTAAAGTACTAAGATCGATAGTGGATGCGCCATGGTACGTAAGTAACCAAACACTCCATAATGACTTAAAGGTTCCTTTCATCAGAGAAGAAATTCATCGAGCCACGGAGTCACAAAATGAACGTACCATTCACCACGAAAATGAGCTAGTGAGGGAACTATACAACAATGGACCAGCCACAAGAAGATTACATAGAACCTGGCCTCAAGATCTTCTTCAGAACTAAACCAAAGTAGAATAAGGTGAGACATCATTGGATGTCTCCAATTCACGCGCAAAACCTGTAATCACATTTACTTAATACTCTTTTTTTGATGTAGATTGTAAATAAACATAATTATAATAAAAAAAAAACGTCTGTTTTGACATGCAATTATTAGAAGGCACAGATTAAAGCAAAACTCTAAATTTGGTATCGAAAAATAGTTTCAGATGTCGCTGTTTGCGTCCATTCAAAGCTATGTTAGAGTTGCTTCCTAAGACAGAAGATATTTATTTTCACGTTCAGAGCGACTATGAATTTGCCGTTATAAAGAAGCCTATTAATCCGAAATTCGTATAAGCGGATACATAGACGCACTATACGTAAAATCAAACCTTAACACATTCACTCTCTACGACTATAGTAAAGTCGCAATAGCGGTGCCGGTTAGAATAAAATCGAAAAAATGTTGTTTAACTACTATAAAAACACTGTTTATTATTATACTTTATTAAAAAAATATAAGTTTTCGTTATATAAGAAAAAACACCTATAGGTGTAGACGGTTCCTCTAATGAAAATTTCATTGCCAGTGCCAATTACACCTATAGGTGATTTTGAATTTATACGAACATGTATTATTCTTTATGGAAAATAAAAAAACATTCAACGCAAAATCCTGGTGAACCATCACAGGCATTACACACGTACATAGTTGCTGTTCTCTTCTTTTGAGTTCTACAAACTTTACACTCTTTTCTTGCTACTCTTTTCATCTTCTTCAATGTTTGATCAGATGCTTTATATTCTTCCTCGGTAATTTTATCAATTTTTTGTAATTCGTGTAGGGTTGCAGTAGCCTTGGGGTCAACTTTTGGTGGTAACAGTGATTCTAAAAGGGCTAATCTAAAATCGTACATGTTCTTCTTTGTTTGCCCTGAGTACTTGTTGAACAGAATAGCCGAATTTATTACACTCATTTGTAATATATGGACAAATATTTTTTTATACCAGCGCAATGTTTTTCGGATACATGGATAGTATGACTGCATTTGATCATGCTGGTCAATGCCTGACATGTATTTATTATAATTAATAATTGCGAGTGGTTTCAATGTTACCTGGTCTCTTGTATTTCGAGATTCAGTCATTTCGTTTCCGTATTCACTCGTTATATACATCACATCGCGTTTGGATCTCCATTTACCAATGTGCACGCCATTACGAAATAAGGACTTATTTTCTCCTGGTTTAAGTTTAACTTGCTGAATAACTCGTGAATTACTTTTTCTTTTTATATTTAAGGTCCCAGTGCAGTAAGTCTCTTTTTGTAAAAGGTCTGAAGCTAACTCATAGCTGTTATAATAACGATCCATATAAACCGAATGTCCCTGGTGTAGCCTTTCTTGTAACAAATATTTAACTACTTTTGAGGTATGACCAGTTCCGCCCAATGCATCCTTTGATCCACTATAAATTGTAAATTTTTGGACTAATCCGTTGGGTTCTGTTAGCATATAAAGTTTCACCCCATATTTATGTTTCTTATTCTTAATATAGTGGCGGAAGATTAAACGTCCTCGCCATAACACCATGGACTCATCAAGAGAAAGTTGCTTTCCAGGGTTGTAAATAGCTTGCATTTTATTATTGAAGTGGTTCATGATGGGGCGTACTCTTGCTAAACGATCTTCGTTATTTTCTCCAACAGGTGAGAAGTGCAAACATCTCAATATCAGTAAAAATCTATTTTTGGACATATACTCGCCAAGACAACTTCTGTAGAATCGATGTGTCTTCCAGTAGTCGGTTAATCTAGAATATTAAACTGCCCCTGTAAGCAGCAGCAAGCCAACAAATGTCCTCAATTCATCAACTGTCAGATGTTTCCAGTATGTAATACGGGATTGTTCACGTGTCTGTTCTCCAAAAAAAGATTGACGGCATACTCGTTAGTTTGCTCTACAATTAAATTCATTATTTCTTGATCAAAAAATAAATTTAAAAAGTCAACAGGATGTTTTCCAATCATATTTAGGACACATGATTGAGTTCTTGCAAACTTAATTTTCTTTAGAGCTCCTTTATCACTCCACGTCGTGTTTTGATCATTGGACGTATTTGTTGCTGTAATTGCGTTCTGTATATCATTAATTCCATGCTCGTCACTAGTATCACTCGCACTGTCTGTTGTATGTCCTTCATCACTGTGTACAGAAAAGTTATCATCACTTTCATCGTCGTCCGACTCTAAAATATGTCGCATCTCTTCTACCGTTAGTGGACCAGTCAGCGGGAGTCAGCTCCCTATTTGTTAATTTTCTTTTAATTCCAGAAGGGCCCGGTTGACTTTTAAAATGACCACTATTTAACAATAAAACACAACAAACTTTACCAAGCAACCAACATTATACATCAATAATATAGGTTTCAGTCAACATGCCTTATAGCTATTAAAATGTTTACTTAAAGTGCCAGTCGCAGAAGAGTGAGATTGAATTGAATGTATATTAATCACCTATAGGTGTAGCCGGCGCCTCTATTGACACCACGGAATACACCTATAGGTGTAATCGGCAATGAATGTGTTAACTGTCTTTTCTTTATTATTCAGTTTATTGATCGCTTCATCTTTCAGCTGACGTTATTGCTCTTACATCTTACAATTGCGATTTGAGAGAGGTGTAACTTTGTATTGAACAGAATATAGTCTATAATAGATCTTTGCTCTCTAGGGTTTTCAAAAGTGTATTTGCATTGTTGTTTGTGCGGAAAAGATATATATTAAACTGTAGACGGGACCCCCAATAATGAATATAGGTATAATCATTATTGATGATATTAATGGCAATGTTGACAATGACGTAGTTTCAGTAATAAAACAGCGATAGTGATAATATCAGAAATAAACACGGAGACATTCTGACGGACCTCTCCAGTATAAACGAAATACGTATTATTAAAGTGATGCATAGAAGTTTTCTATTGTGGCGGTCTCTCTGTTATCCTCAGGTGCATATATTGAGATCACATTCACAAAGATTTAATATCCAGTTTAATTTTTAAACTAACTATTATTTATATTATTATTTTTACACAAAAAAAAATATTAAAAATTATGAACGATCTTAATGTTAATCAAATATTCCGTAAAAACATATCATACCGAAATAATAACAGTTAAAAGTGTTTCTTAAAATATCTTTTTTATAGTCACAAACCATATCGTAAGTTATACGCACATTTGTATATGTCATACTCTATCCAATAGTTACTTACTTATCACCATTGAAGCCAAGCTGGGAATAAGCCAGAAGTAAATTGTTATTCAATGTCGCATTTAACTCAACTTCTATGGGATTAATCTGGGTCATGACTTGAACCGTCGATCTTAAATCTGAAAGGAATACGTCTAAACCTGCTTTTGTATTTTCCAGACCAGAGAATGGAGTTTCCAATTGGACCATCCCACGGAATTCGTTCCCAGATCGTATCAGCCAAGATATTCGAGAATATATCTAAAGTAAAGACATAAGTTAAATTAATTCGCTTACTAAACTTTATTCTATAAGTAGTAAAAAATGTTTAATACAAAACAAGTATATGCAAATTACAAAAAAATCAGTTAAACACGTTACTTGTAAATAATTTTTCACTTATGGTTCTCCTAATATTCTATTGTAAAATATTTAATCAAAACTGAGAATAAAATAAAAATTCCAATACCAATACACTGTACCTGCAAATACTGCAATTTGTATAAAATTACTAAAATACACTCCAGCAATAATTATTTTAAAAGTAATATTCTGGTTTGCTTATTGAGGTTGAACTACTACCATTTGGGCATTAGCTTACATGTTTGAATTTTCCCCAATGGACGTTAATCATTGAAATTAAATTATAAGGTACAGGATATAAATTTAAAATAGCATTCTTCTTCTTCTTTGCCTATTAAGCTTTAGGCGTGTTCCTGTCTGATCTTAAGGCTGTAGCTATTGCTTGACTACCAGCATCTCCTCATCGTGGTGGCCTGGTGATGTTGATTTTACATCTCTTGATGTTCGCGTCCCATTCCCACTTTGCGGTATTCCTATCATACAAGATGCTGTATTTTACAGAGATCTCTTATTTTATTATTTGATATTCTATATTTTAACATTTTTCTAGCAATTGATCGTAAGGCTACCATTTCTGACGTATTCTATTTGTTTCTGCTGTATCTGCTCTAGTTTCTATCGCAAGAAGTTATTATTAATCTTCCATATGATTTATATCTACATACTTTTCTACTATAAGCTGCTTTATCTACTTATTTTCTTTATATTTTCGTAGCTAGATATTTCTACTGTCATATATTCGAATCTCAATATTTGTTTTACTATTTTGTCGTTAATTAGTATACTAAGTTATATCGAAAAAAAAACAGCCAAAAATACTGAATGTATTATAAGAATTTTTTGTCCCTCAAACATTCTTAATTTTCCATTCAGTTCAGACTGATCCGTTCAAATCGTTACGATAAACTTATGGTATGTCTAGTGCTCCGTTGTGAACTGAACAGTGAGAGTGAAGGGCTAAAGAAGATGGTGTCCATTTATCTTTACCACATGTTGAATGGAGGTGTGGGGCAAAAGCGCAGTACCCTATATTACTGGTTTAACAAACTGGAGGACCAGGTTTCGATTCCCGGTACTGACAATTTTTTTTAATTTTGTAATTTAACTGAGCCATCCTCGTGCTTCTTAGGGAACGTAAATCTGTCGGTCTAGGCCATGTAAGTGTCGTTTAGTTATGTTAGGGATGCTTGCGCGGCCCAAAAACTCTAACTAAGACCTTAGCCCATTAACGCCTGCCGTACTTATTCGATGTTCGATGTTACGTGTTCTCTACTCTTCTTTATGGTCTGGAAGCTTGGACACTAAAACAAGTTCATCTGAAAAAGCTGGCCGCCTTTGAATTTTGGTGTTACAGAAGAATCCTACGAATATCATGGATTCAAAGAATGTCAATCATGGAAGTAACTAGAAAGATAGGAAATGAGGCGGAAATATCTATTAACTATTAAAAGACGAAAACTTGAGTACTTGGGACATGTGATGAGAGGGCAAAAATACGCATTATTACAACTTATTATGCAGGGCAAAATCCGAGGAAAGCGAAATGTGGGAAGACGAAGAATATCCTGGCTTAAGAACTTAAGGGAATGGTTTGAATGCAGTAGTGCAGAACTTTTTAGAGCGGCAGTCAACAGAGTCCGCATAGCCATGATGATTTCCAACCTTCGATAGAAGATGGAACTTAAAGAAGAAGAAGTACTTATTTGAGGACGCCTATAAAAATAAACATTCTACTGAATTTTAAAGTATTTTGGGCTATTAGTCACGTTTTCCCTTATCGAGATAAATAGCTTAGTCACTAACTGGTTCAGTTCGTTTTAAATTCAACAACATGTGATTATATAAGTAGTCCTTCGGATTACATGAGTTTCAAAAGAGGTATAGTTGCAGAATAAAAAACATTTTTTCATTAAGACAAAAATTATATTTTATAAGTTTTATACTGAAAATGAGAAGTCCACGGACTTCTAAATATAAGTATTTACCATAACAAGTTTATTTTATATTTGGTAGTATTTAAAAGCCACTATATTTTACGATTTTACGATTTGCTTCTTTTCAGATCATTATGGATGTTACAATATTTATTGGCTCTAAAACCTTTCAAAAATTGGAACAAGTCTTGGAAGAAGCTAATATTAAGGAAAATCAACAACTGGAAAGGATTGATTTGTATGTTGTGGCACCAAATTTGGATGAACTGACGGATAATGAAGAACATGATGACAATATTCTGGAAGATCCGAATTACATTCCAAATGAAACTCCTGGAACTATAGAAACCTCTTTTAAGTCTCGTAAGGAACCAAAAGATGTAAGAACTTCTGATGAAGTTTCGAGTGGACAATCAAAGGAATAGGCTAATTTTTTAAAACCCAACTGGGTAAAACCGATTTTAAGTCTTCTACTACAACAGTAAATATATTATTTGAAGAAAAGAATAAAAACATTAAGGATTTAAGAAATTTATCACCAACTCAAATGTTTGAAAAATTACTTAGTGAAAAAATTATTCCATACATTTGTGATCAGTCAATTTTACACGCACGGCAAAAAATAATCACTCTTTTACAATATTTCCAAAAGAAATGAAAACTTTATTTGCAATATTATTTCTAACTGGGTATAAAGTTTAGAAGAAGAACCTCTTTTAGCTGACTTCTTCCTACACAGCACAAAATCTATCTGATTTTCCCTTTTCCCGCTACTATGGATAAAATATTAATCTTCAGTATTTATAAAGAACGTATTAATGACAGAAAAATCCCATGCCACTGTAAAGTCAATCACACTATTTCCTTCATCATTTCTCATTCCTATACCCAAACTTTCACAACCTCTTTTTTTTCCTGTACCAATATATCCCTTCAAATCACCTTCAATAAAATACTGCTCTCATACATGAATCTCGAGCATCTTGCAATCAAGCACCCTCCAAAATTCTTTCTTTTCCTGTTCTTCACACCCTACTTCTAGGGCGTAGGCGCATATGATGTTTACATTAGTATTTACTGTTTTCAATTGGACACTTATTATTCTATTACTTCTTCTGGTTGCCCTTACCAGATGTTCCTTGCATTCGTTATTCAAAATAATACTAACTCCATTTCTACCGTGACGGTTCGAACTACTATATTATATTACCTTCCAAACATTCGTCTTCAAGATCTCTGGACTTATTCCCTTTCCAACGAGTTTTCTGCATAAAAAGTACATGAATCCTTCTTCTCTACATGAAATAGGCGAGCTCTCTTTCTTTACCTGTCATGCTTCCGACTTTGAGAGTTGCAACTCTCAGGACTAGCTTTTTTCTTCCTTCGGTTAAATTATTTCCATATTTCTTCTTTCCATAATTTTAGCAAGATTTTTACTGCCCAGATCCGCCCTTTCTGGCGCAAACCCTCCTCCTTTATCCAGGCCTGATCGACACTGACAGTTACAACGCTACTAAGTTCACCCAGCAACTACCAGAGGCGAATTTCCGGAAAAATAATATATCATAAACTCTAAATCGGGTAGCGGATAGGAACTCCCTTGAAAGTCCTACCAAGGAAAGTGAGTCAGTCCCTGTCCTTCGCAGATTTCAGGAGTTTCCCGACCCGGCAAACTAGTACCTGCTTAGGGTCCCTTCGGTGTCCACGGCGGAGAAGAACATCTTCGGTACGGTGTATATGCCGGAAGTGGCACTCCCGATTTTAGGGTTAGTATAAAATTAAATGTAACGTCTAATCCAGAGTGAGTGGACGGCTACAAACAGCGTCTGGCCCAGAGTTTCCGGCTGATAACTAACTCACCAACCCACCTGGCAAGCGTGGTGTTTTAACTGCCACTACCCTCCTCCCTGCTTTTATCATGGTGAATAATAAGACAAAAGAAAATGGTCCCCAGGTGGGTAAAAAAATTTCTGAACCTCACACCTCAAAGGTCTGCCTCACGGTATCTGGGGAGGCAATAACTCATTTTTGATAGGTAAAAACAAAAACACACTATGACGAGCACAACATAAATCAAAAAAATCCGTCAAACTATCAATAGGTGCATACAATGTTAGATCAATGTCCACGGATGAAAAAGTACATGAACTGGAAAAAGAATTAACAAACATAAAATGGAATATTATAGGCCTATCAGAAACTCGGCGAAAAGAAGAAAACCGAATGTAGCTAAAACCCGGTAATCTGTACTGTATTATAAAGGAAATAAAAATAATAGTAAATTTTGAGTAGGATTTATAATAAATAAAGCTATAAGTAAGCATAAGATCGTGTCGTCTATGTCATACTTAAAATAAGAAGAATATCAATTAAAAATATCCAGGTATATGCCCCACGACAACTTATGATGACGAAGATATCGAACTAGTTTATGAAGATGTATCAAAGGCTATGAAAGAACATAAAAATCGTCTTACACTAGTAATTGGAGATTTCAATGCCAAACTGGGTAGAACACTAAACAAAGGAGAAACTAAAATACAAAATTTTGGATATGATCAGAGAAATGATAGAGGTACTGCTTGGATGAACTCCCTAGAAAAAAAGCACCTATATGCAATGAACTCATTTTACAAAAAGAAGCTCCAACTAAAATGGACATAGATCAGCCTTAATGGATCCACAAAAAAAAAGATCGACTACGTACTGTCCACGGAACGATATATCATTAAATATGTAACAGTTCTTAACAGATTCACAACAGGTAGCGATCACAGGATAATCAAAGCAAAAATTAGTATTGACCGTAACTATGGAACGAAAAGAAAAATATTTAGAAACTGGGATCTAGTAGATAGAAAAAACTAGGGCAATATAAATAGAAAAACAAAGACCTATTATAAAAACAACTTATCCAAAAATTAGACAATGATGATAAAGATATAGATGAAATAGACAACATAC